AAGTTGAGAAGAGAAAGAGAGTAGGGACTTTACTTCACTCTTCACATTTCACACTTTCATTTGGCATAATGAACAAACATTGAATTTGCAGGCTTTGATTTAGGTTAATTGAAAAAGAAAAAAGAAGAAAAAAAAACTTGTGCAATTTGCTAAAAATTGTTATTTGATGATCTTGTTATACACTTTTAAAATTTTTATCTATTTGAAACAAACAATTTTCTTATATTTTTTGTCGCTTTTTGTCCTGATCCTGAATGAAACCGACTTATTTGTGATGGTGTCTAGTCTTGGATCGATTCCTAAAGACAAGACAAATACCAAGATATGCCAAATCCTAAACCGTCCTGGACCGTGCCAATCCCTAAAAAGCAGACACCATGACCCTACACCAAGCTCAAACTCAAAATCAACCAAACTCATAATATTAGAAATCATTAGACCATCTTTATCAACAATCTAAATCAACCCAACTTAACAAATAAAAATTATTTATCTCACCTCCACCTACGCAACCCAACATTTCAACTCAAATTATTTTTATCCCTAACCCAACACATCATAAAATTTAAAAATTACAATTATATTCCAAAACCTATTAAATGTGATCTATATTTATGGAGCATGAAAAAATTATGAATTTTAATTTTTTATTACTTTCATAATACAAAATACACTTGTCTAATAAAAATGAAACAAGTGTCCCATTCCTAACCAACAATCATTTCGTGACGACCCAAGATCACAGTCTGACTTGGGTCGCATCATTTGATGACTTTTTTCCTTTTTTTTTTTTCGTTATCTCCGTGACCCAGGGGAGTTGGGTCACGGGTAAACATGGTCTTATCCTCCATATACCCATAACCAAAGACAACTCAACTGCAATTAATCAACTAGTACACATGCCTCATCATTAATCCTCAACACTAAGCTTCACCAAATAAAGATAGCCATGAAGATTGAGTAAAGCAAAATAGACAAGGGAATACAGCAAAAAACTATAGCAATATGAAGGGGAGGCTCAAATTCCATATATGAAGGGAAAATGATTAATGCCGTAACAAAGAGCAAAATCATGCAAAGCATTGCACATCCCTTGTGGTCACACTCCATCTTCTTCTTTAATTTTGTTATTATCCCTGCAAAATTAAAATTAAATAGGAAAGAAATTTAGATTTTAGTTGAGTTGTAGATGATTTTCTTGTAGAAGAGAATAAATAGATTTTAGTTGAGTTGCACAATTAATGTGTAACAACTATTTTGTTTTTTTATATGTGATATATATTGGAGTGTGTGTATAAGTTAGTGTATTCCTAAAGTATGTGCATTAATGTGTAACAATCGTTTTGTTTATACATGATTTTCCATAAATTAATGTAAATGTCAAAGGCACAATGTTTTAAATTATAAAGTTTTCTTAATGAAAAAAATTGTGTGGACAATATAGTCAAATAAAAGCAACTAAAACAATTGAATTATTTTTCACATATATATGTAACTGAATTACAAAGTATTGTAGCAATCATAAATTGCCATTAGAAAAGCACAAAAAATAATATTTTTGCAATTTCCAATATATTATTGTAATGTAATCCTTCATTAGATTGTAAAAGTGGCAACTCACTAATTCTGAACTTATAATATACGTCTGACCAGGGTGGGTTAAAGTGAATACTGACGCTTTTCAGAGCAATACGGGCATGGGTTGTGCGGATGGTTTTATTAGGGATGAGTCGGGTAGTTGGATTGCCGGTATCTTAATAAAAATCGACTTATGTATTATTACGCTGAGTTGTGGGGTCTCCTGAACGAGTTGTGGGGTCTCTTTCAGGAGTTACAGTTGGCATGGGACCGGGGCTACCGTCAAGGTATTGTCGAGGTTGATAGCATGTGTATGACGAACATGGTCCTCGGTTCCGGCGGCCAGTATGGAACTCACGGGTCACTATTTCAGGCCATACGAGAGATGGTGCACAGAGATTGGCGCGTTCGGGTTGCCCACGTTCATAGAAAAGCTAATTCTGCGGCTGACTACTTTGGCGCCATCCTCCGCGTGGGGACTTCAGCGGGTTCCAACACCCTCTCCGGCTTGAGGGCATGGCTGGATCATGATGTTATCGGGGTTTCCTACCCCCGACGAGTCTTAGCTTAATCACATCCTAGACCATTGACATCCTCTTTTGTACCCAAAAAAAAAAAATGACACATAGACCGGATAGCCTATTATGAGCCTAATGGGCTAACATAAAAGAGAGGGTAGGACTGATCGACCCAATTTTTAGTCAGCTTCCCCACAGTCAACGTGCTTGACTGGACCTGTTTCGAGAATTATTTCAAACAAACTTCCATTTGTGACACGACAAATATGCCTTCCCAAACATATGTAATATGACCAATTTCATACATAAATGGCCAGATTGCACGAGATTTTCTATATCTTTGAATCTTAAAGTAGAATACTCTTTAAGCACACAATTCGATTCATATATAAATTATATAATATATATCCTCTTTTGGATTTCATTTATTTTTTGGTTTTATCTATATAAACCTTCTCTACTACATGTAATTCAAAACAAATCCATTAAAGCAAAAAAAATATAAAAAAAGACAAATCTCAGTAATATATATTTTCTCACAAATTCTCTTAAGATTACCTATAGTTCAACCAATTGACTATGTCAAGTTTTGGTTTATGCACTACCTTATCGACCATATTTCTCTTATTCATTTCAAGAAACGTCGAGAGTGTTTCTTCAGAAAACGGCTTTGGGAAATCGGTCAAGCACACCGGCGGCAGGAGGGTGCTTCAGGGGTCGGTGCCGCCCAGGTGCGAGGGGAAATGCGGCGGCTGCACACCGTGCATTTTGACGGCCACTTTGGTTGATGGCGAGTACGTGTGGATGTGCTTCTGTTATGTGGATAGATAATTATGTGGCATTTTTTTTTTTTTTTTCTAATTTTTGTCTGTTAAGTTTCTTCCTATGGTTCGAACTGCGTCCCAGCATGGACATTGAAAATTTTCCTTGTCGTAATATGTTACAACAAATTTTAATTTAAAAATTTGACTTAAAAAAAAAAATAAAAACTCACATTTTACGGATTCATATTAACAATATTGATTCAAGAAGGAAACTGTTGAGTAAACTTTCAAAATCAATCCGTTGATTGACTATGTGATGCACCAATAAATAGCAATGTTCTAAAAGTCGTTAGGCGCCCGTTAAGCGTTCCATTAGCGCCTAGAGCGCTTAGTCGGTGCCTAGAAATCAACTAATCGTACACAAGAGAGTCCAAACGCGCGTTTTTTATATATGTGATCGAGGGTCGATTATTAAATACCTTATTTTTTACTTATTTTAACTACCTACAATGTAAAACTATCTCAACTTATAATAAATCGACACATCTAAGTCCAAATAATAGAATTAATATATTTTAAATAAATATTAAGACAAAATAATGTAATTAGTATTTAAAAACAACAAAAAGACTTAAAAATTGCGCTGAGCCTGCCTAGGTCCGCCTAATCGCCTGGCCGCCGAGCCCGCCAAGTCAGCCTAGGAGCGCTTAGGGCCGTCTGGCCCATTTTTTCTGCCGATTTGTGCAAATCGGAGGTGCCCGAGCACTGCCTAGGTCAATTTTAAGTAATGGTATTTTAGTATTTTACAAACAACATTTTTTGAAATTTTTATTTAATTAACTATGAAAAATGATACTATGAACTAATTTCAACTTACAATGACCTATTATTGTTTTTTGACCTAACTATTTTTGGTATTGTGCAAATGATCAAGTGGACAATTTGTGACATTTTTTGTTGAAATTCATTTCATAGAGTTGGGGAGGGCTTCACAAGTTTGACTCTCAGATGCTAATGCTAGTTTACCAAAGGCCGCTGACGTGGATGGCTCTTAATTTTGGCTGTTTTATTATTAATTAATTATTAATTATTTAATTAACCTCTTGAATACGTATGGGAGATAAGAATTAGGCTACCAACCCAAACAGTTTGCCTTCAAATTTCTCAACTTCCAAACCTTTTTTTTTAATAAATTAACCAAACTAATTTTTTAATGAAACCAAAAAAAAAAAAAAAAAAAAAAAAAAAAAAAAGAAACCACAAATTAACTAAATTAACCCAAAACCCTTCACTTTATCCAATCCATCCAACACTTCAGATGAATATATTTTTTGTTGAAAATACCAATTAATGGAATATATACTATTAAAAAAATAAATAAATCAAAACTGTCAATTGGCATATATTTTATAAGAACAATAATTTATTGTAAAAATATATATTTCTATTAAAAAATTTATGATTTTAAACCCAAATCAACTCATTCAACTAAATTGAATTAACAAATTTAAATTAACTAGAAATAAATATTTATGGAAATCCCACCACCTTCACTACCTTCTGAAGCAGTATTTAATTAAAATCTAAAGTAATATAATCTAAGTTGGACCGGTAAACATCAAATAAAAGAAAAATTCGACACAAGGGCAAAATGGTAAATTCAGTCCACGAACAGGGCATGCGAACCATGCAAAGGCTCTCAATATATATATTACTAATATAAAAAACCTTCCTACAAGATGGTATGGTACAAATTAAGCTAGAAGATAAAATAAAATAAAAAAAAAAAAATTAATTTTGCCAAGAGCATGATGTTCTTTTTCGTGTTGATCATCGTTCTCGTCGTATCCATGGAGAGGCCGGCCATGGCGGCTCGGGAATCGGATTTCTTGGTGGATATATTTTCTTCCGGGAGGGATGAGATGGTGCGGTACTGGGCCGGTTACGGGGAACAAAAGCTCTCGACGGTCGTGATTCGCGGCAAGATTTTCTGCTATGGCAGTGGTGTTGCTAGAGAGAAAGCAGCTTCCGATCCAGTCTCAGGTTGTCTTTATGTTTTTATTTCTATTTTATTAGTAATTAATTGAAATAATTAATGTTTTTATAAAACCAATTTGATGATGATATCTAATTTAAGTCCAAATTACATCCATTAATTTGGTTTTGATTAAATTTGCAGGTGCAAGAGTAGCTGTTTTGTGCGGTTCAAGCTCGAAAAGGAAGAAAACATGGGCGAAAACTGACACGGATAGTTCTGGAAACTTCTTAATCGATCTACCTTCACATCTCCATGCGATCCCGAACTTGGAGAAAATATGCTACGTCAAAGTCGTTCGTCTCCCGAAAACTAGTTCGTGTCGTCTGGTCCGAAAACATAATCCGATACGACTAACCTCAAACATCGACGGCATCCGCAGTTACACGACCAACAACATAGAATTGATGCCTCGCAAGCATACATAAAATTATTAAATATACAAAAATAAAAGGGAGAATTGATTGTGTGTAGTTTATTGCAGCGTATAGGGTTGATTTGATCACTATAGCTAGCTAAGTGGGCTTGCTATGTGTTGGGTGGACATGTTTGCGTGTCCATAATACAATGTACATACATAGTATACTAGTCCAATATGAAAACGAAATGTATACATACAACAAATATAAAATGGGTTATTAAAAGAGCTTATATATATATTTTTTTTTTTTAAATTTGAAAAATCATATGACGCAAATAATAAATAGTAAATAACTAAAGTAAGGAGATGCTACGGTTCCGTTACGGAACCATTCCGTCGAGATTTGTAACTGTTAGATCAACTATCTTCGACGGTAACATGATGAGTTACAAACCCGACGGAATAGTTCCGTAATGGTAGCATTTTCCACTAAAGTAAACGAGTGAATGTGAAAATGCAGTCTATTTTAATGTCAAAGTATTGACACTAAAGATGTTACAACTTTCATAATGATCTCCAATTTTGCTATATAATCACAACCAAATACTCCATAAAACAATTTCCGAACACAAACTTCACCGGAAAACAGGACACCCTTTAACAACAATCCCAGGTGCAGTCGGGCAAGAAGCTAGAGGACAATGGTCCGGCTCCGAACCCCACCATTTTACATTTTTGCCCTCATTTTGCAGAGCGAAAAACAGCACAACACCCATGAAAGCCGTCCCAGCATCTAATGCGGCCGATAAAACATAATTATACCTTTGCCACCATGTTTTCCGATACTTGAACACGAAATAGTTGAACAGAGTCCCGGTTATGATCCAGCTGGCAATGTTTGTAGGGGTAGCCGGTGGCATGCCTGCAAATCCGTAGGAGATGACCGGTATGTTGATCAGAGGAATCCATTTTTTGTGAGGGAAGATTTTACTTAGAAGCCAAACCGGAATCGGCAAGACTGCACCTATAAGGAATAGCCAGACCAAGTTACGGTACATTCCACCTGGCCCAAATAGTCTCTCGGGCCCGATTAGACCCCAAATGACTGAGGCATCAAACGTGACTCGGAATTTAGGACAAGTCCATGGGCTCTCAGGATGCAATGCCTCCACATCACATAGGTTGTCTATGCTTCCCAACATCCACCATGACACGCCTAGGTTGACCGTTCCCGAAACCAATGTCCCCACAAGCTAATTATAAATGAAAAAAAAATTAATAAGTTAATAAGAATTAATTAATATGACGGTCAAGTGAAATCGAGCTGAAGACAACCTGAGCAATGAACATGCTTCGAGGTGGGATTTTCATGTAGTGCCCGAGTTTAAGATCGGCTAGGAAAGAAAGAGCATGAACAGTACTTATTCGACCGTAAATCTTGAAGAGTAGATTTGCAATGGGCTTTCCGGGAAGGATATATCCGAATATGAACTGCGCAATAATGTCGTATCCAGGTTGCTACACAAGAAAGTTGCTGTAATTAGATTGAGATTCACTGTGCAAGATTATTTATTTACACATTAGTTATTGCTATAAAATATACCTGGTTAGTAGTGGCTTGAATGACCCCAATTGGGAGTGTTACAATCCAAGCCAAAGCAAATGCAAAGAGCATTCCCCACCACGGTAGCTGAACGTCTTCTTTCCACACCAACGACAATAATAGGGATAAAGCTATGCTGCCCGCCAGCACAACGAGAAACCACCACTCGGGCACTTGCTCGTAACTTTTCATCATCTTCGCATGCACGTCTAATTTCACGTTCTTCAGAGCAGATTTGCTCTGCCTCCATATATCTCTAAGCAAATTACATAAAAAAATCAAAAGCACATTCAGTTAGTCACACAACCCAAAAAAAAAAAAAAAAGGATTTCGAATTCGAATGAGGCTACTGTCTACCTGCCATTGAACAATGCAACATGTGTTAATGTGGCAGTAAATCTTGCGAATCCCGAACCAATCGACAGTGCAAATAACGGGCTAAGATACAGCTTGCTGTAACTTTCATAAGCCGAAATGTTAAGATCGTATTGTGGGGTTAAAATCTTGGTAGTATCATACTTATGCCCACTGGAAGTAAAAAGTTGATTCGAGAAAATGGGAAATTTGCGGGCGTCAAAGGTGTTGAACTTCCAGTAACAAATCGGAACAATGATGTATATAAACATGATAAATCCAACCATGACATTGAGAATGGAAGAGAATGGGGTGACTAATGGGCTGCCGTGATACGCAGAGATTCCGGCCCAATCAAGGGTGAAGGCACCTAGTCCGAGACCATGGTAACCGGACCCGATTTGCTGGGCCGTGATGCTGTTGGGCCACACCCAACATACCCAGGAAAAGAAGGTCAATATCTGGAATAGGTATCCAGGGAATAAGTAGTAGATAAAACTTGCTGTCATGCATACGAGGAAAAATCGCATTCTCGTCGTGCCTTGAGCTTTGTGTTCCTTTTCGTGAAGCGCCCTGAGAGAGAGAGAAGCGTTAGTGATGACGAAAATTTATGTTTATGAATGTAATGATAAAAATACTCAAAACTGCAGATACTCAAATGGATTATATGAATGTTGTTACATCAAGAGAACTTCAAATTACTATATACCATTCGAGTAAAGAGTAAAGTTTCCTCATATTACACTGATCTGATTTGTTTATTTTTTTGGTTTTAAACCGTGACAGGATGTCGACCAAGGCCGTAACGACAACCGGGCTTTCTCAGATTTAGTGAACTAAAAGTTCATACATTGAAAGAAAACAAAGCAAAAAACTCTCTTGCATTTAAAGAAGTATCACATCACAATTTTAACATAGAAAAGGAGTAAAATGTACATGATTTTCGCCAAAGAAAATTGAAAGGAAACAAGGAAAAACAAGTACTCGGGGGTACCTTTGCTTAAGAACATGAATCAAATACTACACAGTAATCACTGAAAAGTGCACGGAAAAATAAAAATAAAAATAAAAAAAAAACGTAAAAAAGAAGGGGAAATGTTAGGTCACGTTACAGAACCATTCCACCGTGGTTTATAACCGTTAGATCATCGTGGAACCGTCAGAGATAAGTTGATCTAACGGTTAATGGTTCCGTAACGGGACCGTAGCATCTTCCAAAAAGAAGACAAACCTGAAGAGAGAAACTTGAGCAAGATTTGAAGGCCACCACATCTCAACTGGATCCACCAAGTATCTTCTCAACATCCCAGCCCATCCATAGCCCACCAACTGAAAAAAAAAAAAAACCAATTAAATAAGCTGAATAAAAAGAACAAATGAAAACTTTTGACATTGGGAAAAAAATAGAAACAAATTGGAGAAAATTAACCTGAGTGGTCAGAACAATCAATAGAGCGCAAAGGAAGCTCAAGCTCTGCTTATAATAAGCCTTCATCACTGTAATGGCCCCAATAGAGTAGGCATCACCACCACCAATCGACACCCCGCAATTAGCCATGACCGTGATAATCACGTGCTCCTTCACATTAAACGGGCCGGGGTTGAGCCCGAACCTCCACCGCCCAAACACCGTGTACTCCCTCTCCGGCAGCGTCGCCGCCATGAACTTCCCGATCGGAAGCACCGCTATCTGCATGAGAATGGCGGAAATGGCCAGCGGCTGCGTCCTGTAGATGAAGAAGGTGTTGAGGAAAATCAAAATCGTGCAAGAGGCCAGGCCGAGAACCCATGCCCGGAAGGTCATGACGGGTAGGGTCGGGTCGTCGGTCTCCGGCACCACCAGCGCCACCTCCTCCACCGAGAACCTGTCCGACGCTGCCGGATCCTCGGTATTCCGGTCGCCGGAGACGGGCTTCTCTCTTTGTAAATCGGAACTCATATTTTTGCCTCTTACAGAGCTGACAGTACTCTGTTTTATCCTCTGTTTGAAGATAAATAGGAAGGGTCTTACTCGTGGGACCGTCCAAGACAGCGTGGCATCCAGCTAGGATATTTTTCGTGGTGTTCAAAAGTTACCGAGGCCGGGCACGTGTCACGAATGAGTTGTTTTACAAGCTTTTGACGGTGGGGTGAAATGCAAATACGTAGCTGTAGAAAGACGTGTGGTGGGCGAGAGATACGCCCGTGTGAGCTCACGCGTGCGCGTGAGGGCGTCATGGTTGCATGTCGTGCGAGCAATTTCACATCTTTATAGAAAACTTTTCTTTTCTCAATGAAATTACATAATTAATGAATGGGTGCTTTGAATACAAAAATTCCAATCAATCATTTTTAACCAATCAATTTTTTAATTTAAAAATCTATATATATATAATTGCTAGCCAATAACATTTAATAAAACCTAATTAATTTTACCTATGTGACAATTTAATATTTTTCTCTCCAAAAACCGTTACTTTTTTATGTATTTAATCTTTTATTTAATTATTAAATAATCAATACTAATCACTTCAAAATTACAA